GGAGGAGGAGGAGTCCCAAGATCTCTCGCAATGTCCCACCGCTGGTCATGAAAGAGAATTTGACTTGACAAGGACTGGGAACGAAAGTCGGATTCCCCCAGTTGACTCGCTTATGCTTTCTGAGGTGGTTGGGGTTTTGGAGTTTGGTGGGAGAAGAAGAAGGGTTTCCCACTAGATCATACGTTCCCCCGGACATTATTGTGAGACATGTTAAGAAGCAATCGTGTGAAAGGAGAGTGACATATGAAGATGATCGATGAATGAGAAATTATAATATCGTAATTTGAAAACGAAAGTTAATTATTGTGTACGAATAACTAGATCAATATGGCGAGTCGGGTACATCGTCACATCTGTTCAACCAATAGAGGAGTACCTTTTTGAGTGTCGGATGTATCACGATTGACAACTCGTGGCCGTTTCGACCGACGCTTTGAATGAGTACATCAATGAAGATAAACACATAATTGAATGAATGGCGTACACAAATTTCATTGATATTTTGTACAGTATAAAACAGAGAGACATCATCACTTATAATTATGGTGGAAGGTAAACATAAAGATAACAATTTTATCTACATTGAAATTTAATAAAAAAATAAAAAAAAATCTTTAAATGACCAGCTCATGGGTACTTTGCTTGATATGTTATCTTCATACTAATTTTTTATATTTGATTTGTGACTTGAATACTCCCCTTCAAACTGGTCAATGAGGAGGACCAAAGACCGAGTATGGTTCGTAACCAGACATAACTTTCTTGAGTCAATGGTTTAGTGAAAATATCAACAACTTGTGAGGAAGATGAAACATAACAAGTCACAATAGAATCGAGAGCAACCTTTTCCTAAACAAAAAGATAATCATTCTTAATGTGCTTTGTTCAAGCATAAAAAACTAGATTAGTTGTGGGATGTAATGCTGACATGTTGTTTGAGAAAAGAAAAGGAAGCCTAGGTTGGTAAATGCCAATGTCATGCAATATGCATGAAATCCAAATCAGTTTAGTAGTTGTTGAAGTAAGAGCCCGATATTTAACTTCAGCTGTGGAGTTGGCCATGATGAGTTGTTCCTTGGCACACCATGAAACATAGTTTGAGTTGAGAATAGTACAATAAGCACTGGTAAAATGTTGGGTGAGTTTGCACCGAGTTTGCACCCAGCCTATTCGACATTAGGCAAAAAATAAAATAAAAATAAATGTAGATAACTATGAGACAAAATGCAAAAGCCAAGGCGTAAAGTGCTGCAAACATATTAGTGAATACGTGTTACCATATGATAGTGAGCAACAGTTGGGGCATGCAAATGTTGGCAAGCGATGTTGACCACAAACTAGAGATTTGGACAAGTGAGAGTAACTTACTGAAGAGTGCCTACAATGCTTCAGAAATAAGACAGATTAGCATTGGGCTTATCATTGTATTTGAGTGTAGTTTTTTTAACACGTGTTTGTGTTTGGCTTCTTTTAGCAATTGGCTTGATAATTGGGAGTAGCAATTGGCTTGCATAGTTGGAAGTAGAAATTGGCTTGCATTGTGGCATGGATACTCGACTCAAAAGACACGAGACATATTTTTGTTGTGAGAGAAAGAATCCATCGGTGGAGTGATTGACTTCAATGCCCAAAAATAATGAAGAGCGTCGAGGTCTTTTATAGAAAACACTTGACCAAGTGTGTGCACAAGATAGTTCAATAATTGTGGGGATCACCAATGAGGATTATATCATCCACATAGAGCAATAGAATTGTAATATGATCCCAATGGCAATAAACGAGTAGTGATAAATTAGTAGGGTTGCAGAAGAATCCGTATTAAAAAGAAAGTCACTGAACTTGTTGAACCATGCCCTAGGAGGCTAGGAGCTTGTTTGAGCCCATATAGTGCACTCCGGAGTAAGTAGACATAATAAGAACAAGATGAATCTAGGTGGTTGTTCCATATAGACATGATCATTGAGATTGCCGTGTAGGAAGACATTCTTAACATCTAATTGGCGAATTTCCAAATCTTGAACATTAGTGATGGATAAAACAATGCGAATGTTAGCTTGTTTGACTACCAAACAAAAAGTTTATAGGATATTAATGCCCTCCTCTTAATGAAAGTCTTTTGCAACAAGTCGGGCTTTCAGTCAATCAAGTGAAACTCAACATGTTATTTTACTTTGTACACACATTTACATGCAGCCACATTTATCAAGGGATGACGGGGAACAAGTTCTTATGTTTTGTTGATTGCAAGAGCATCTACTTCGCCGGTCGTGCCAGTTAGAACAATCAGTGTCTACGTCAGTGATTTCCTGCCAAAATTGGCCAGATGGACTACATTGACAAATTATCAAATAATCTAGGATTAAATTGGTCAAATTAAAAGGTTTATGAGTGAATTAGCGCAAGTGCAATAGTTTCATGTCTTTTTGGTAATTTTGTCATTGGGGATGCAGATGGATTTCTTTTATCTGTTTCAATTCTATTTGAGTATGAATATTAGTTGATTCTTGGCGGTTAAAGTTTTGAGTTTTTCGCAGCTTTGTTAAGAATAAAAAAAAATAAAACAAAAAAAAAGATTCGTCGATTTTAGGTAGATCTTGGAACCAAATTGGACCAACAAGTTTGAATCTAGGGTTTGTTTCAAGGTCTACAGAGTAGATTCAAGGTTCCAAAAATTGAGAAATAGAACCTACTATTGCGAATGAACCAAGCGATTGAACAATAAAATAAACAGAATAAGAAAATAAATCTAACACAAGATATACGTGGTTCGGTCGTAGTGACCTACGTACACTGGGAGAGCAATAACAAATTCCACTATAGATGAAGCGATACAATGGAGATTACAACCACACTCGAGTCACTCAAACTCTCTTAATGTTTCATGAACCCCAATTACACCCAATAACTTACGCAATGTTTAGTCTACAGTTCATCACAAAATAATTTCTCGGTTTCACGAATGAATTACACAAATCTATCACAAGATTTTTGCTTGAACACCAATTCTCTTGGATGTAATCCATGAACAAGAACTCACGAAGATAGCTCACCGTCATGCACTCGTAAACGGCGCTTCAGGACCTCTTCACGTCAACAACAGCGCTTCTCTATATGGCCGAAAACAGAACAGCCCATATTTATACGTGGGTCCACGGTCAACTTTCCTCATCAAGCAGAGTTCAACACGGAAATGAAAAGTCCATGGAAATATATACATATTTCCTTAAATTCCTTTGCCTAATCCAACTGGAAGTTCTATTATCTTTTCTTTCTTTCATTCTCTTGACCCATTGTTGACCGAGTCTATCTCCAATTCAAAGTCCTAGGTTGGACTTTCCAACCTCACCAGCCGAAAGCCCCAAAACGCGTTAGGAAAACTAATTTCCGAAACTTGGCCTCGGATTCTTTCCTTTTCTTCGTATTATTATTATTACTATTATTATTTTCGCAATTCAGATTTTCGCTTCGGGCTCAAAATCGATACATATTTTAACACCTATCCACCTTGGAACCGGGCAGAGCAGTCTTGTTGGATGAAACTTCGACTATCCACCTAATGCCATGTTTCTCAGTCTTATCCCATTATTTTCCAACCTTTTTCATTTTATTCATGACCTAAATCATGTACGTGCCCGGATATTCATGTAATAACAATGAAGTTATTTTCCAATGAGTGCGATCGTGCGAAGTCAATGAGCAATTTCCAATCTATGAACCAAAGAGACTTAAATGAATTTATGCACTGCAAACCGTCGATTTTTCTTGAAAAAAAGAAAACGACGGAGTAGAGTTGGGCTCAAAGCTGACTGTCCGGTGTGAGCCCACCGTGAGGTTGTGTTGTTGGGCCGAAGCATGAAGTAGTCTGTTGATCGAGTGAAGCTCTTTAGGGACGACATTATCCAAGGGATACCAAACCACGAGTCGATCAATCACCGAGCGTGGTACCCTAGTGGCAAATAAGTGACACTTCTTTTCTAGGAGATTACAAGTTTGAGCCGTATCGTGAGCAAGCCTCTGACTGGCTTGTGCTAGTTTCCAACATTCCATCGCGGGTGTGGTAACACCTAGATTAGGTAGCTACGCATGTTGCTCATCCCCACCCGTTTTTTAATGGAAAAAAAAAAAATCCATTACCCCCTATGCTATTTCAAAAGTTTGCTAGGAATTGGAACTTGTTCGACCGCACTTGCCCCAACAATCACTTCTCACCCTCGTTGGATCGATTATGGGCGTATTACATCGGTCCCCCGCTCTTATGACTAACCCCCAAAAGGAGCACTTTGAGTAACTATAGAAAGTGGTGACTATTGTGGGATGGATGTTTATTTATGAAACATCAGAAGGTGGAGCTTAGGTATGTTAGCCCAGTCGTGTATGTAGGTGTGTGTGTATATATATACACACGTGACTCCTTATTTAGCAAATTTTATATTCACAATTTGGTGAAAAGGTAATGAGTTTTTTTATTGGGAAGAAAATATGGATCATACTACAATGAAACAAGGAGAGAGTTTGGAGAGGGCAAACGAAAATATTCTGAAAAATCTAGGCTTGATGTGGAATTTAGTTTCTTACTTATGCTAGATTAGCTCAAAGACCAGCTTTAACTTCAACTTTTTCTGAATAGAATTTTACTTTGGTTGTACTTAGATATAAATCTTACCACAAACTCGTTTTGACTTTTCTTTTATCCCTTAATACCTTTAACTTTTACAATATACAAATATAAACACGTCAATTTGCATATACTTTTTCATAATTCTTTATAAAAATTAAGTAATATTTTTAATTTTGAAGGAAAAGTAAAAAAATTACGATTGACGTAAACTAAATTCTAAACAAACAAGCCCTTAGAAATATATGAGTTTTAGCTAGCCACACCACTTCTTCTCACATGGTCATCCCATTTTGACAAATCTCGCAATCATGACTTTTGATGACTTCTCTTTATCAGGACTAGGAAGATGGATGGATCAAGTTTCTCGAGACACTCATTAACAAAATTCATATATAAAATGGGATAGCGTCCTTTTATAATATGAGTGTAATGTTCCAGTGTTGACATGCACTAAACCCTAGCAACGTCGAAAATAATCAAAACAAAAAAGAGCAGAACTTTCCTTTAGATCCCGTATCATTTCTCAGTGCCTTCATGTATTAGTCACCCACCACGACAGTAGATATCTACTGCAAGAGCAGTTCAGACCTGTTGTCTTCTCTGTGCCTACCACTTTTCTCCAATTTCCCGTTGCCATGTCCGACCCAACCCGACCCGAACCGACCGATCATGGAGCGCATGAAGAAAGGGCACAAGGGGCAATTCACAAACAGCTTCCTACCGAGGAATGGAGAGCTTCTCTTTTGTTGTTGACCACTTTAAGATGGCCCTGTGAAAACAATCTTGATGTTGTCGGGGGGAGTCACACTCTCCATGGGGTTGCACCCTCTGATCTTGACCTCGACCATCCTGCCCATTGAGTCCGTGCCGTTGATCACCTCGCAGCACTGTCTCCGTGGGGCCTGCGATCGACGCGAATAGTTTGATTGTATAATCGTGACTTTGGTCTACGGAATTTAATGGTTCATTAGATCGGATGGTTCATCGGATTGCATCTCAACCTATTTATTTTCCAAGACGATTTATCGCGAATCCTAAATTGAGCCAATTACTCGACACAATCCCTATATCTATGTGACATCATCCTTCATTTCTTTTAATCACGTGTCATTATAAACAAATACTAGGATGGCAATCATGGAATGTGAAAGGGCATGGTCTCTTGTGCATCCGGCGCGGATCGCGCAAAGAATTATGCTTTGTAGGAGCAAATCAAGATTGAAATGATCGCATGCAATGTATTGTGCGTCCGCAAAAGTCTCTTGGTAGTCTCCACGTCTTTCGGGACGTGATCATCTCAAAAGTCAACAAACCTTGGTCAAAACCAATAAAAGTTATAGTACATTGACCTTTTCATTCATTCTAGCCTATATTCACAGGCCAATTGTCCGACAAAAATCTATCTAACTTAGATTATTAGGCGCCTCCTTGGTTAGTTCACATTATTAATTTCTAAACTTCACACTAAATTTTTCGACTCAACTTAGAGAAAGCACAAAGGCATGGGATTGAGAAGTCGACGTTCGTACCTTTTTCCACATGTTTGGTCTGAACGTTGAACTCGACACATTGAAGCTCTGGACGGCCAAAGCAGGAGCATATTGCGGGAGGTCACAGTCGTTCTCATCCACGGACGGCCTCACGTACGTGGTCAGCATCTGGCCGTCCCCGACCCGGTGGACCCGGTCCAGGAAATACACCACAGGCTGCTCGCACGGGTTCGGGCCGACCTGCCGGGTGTTGAATGTGAAGGGCTCGTTGCTCCAGCTCCGCCATGTCTGGAACGTCTGTATCGCCGTCTCGAGCTCCTTCGCCGTCAGGAGGGATGGGTAGAGCTGGACGGTGTAGCCCCAGGACACGGACACGGACCAATTCCGGGCTAGGTCGTAGCAGAAGCTGTGCTGGAGGGTCCGGCCCGGGTCCGACTCAAACGCGGTCCGGAGTTTCTTCAACGATTCGATCTGGTCCAGGCCCGGGAAGATGGGGTCCACGTAGTCCAAGTGGTGGAGGGAGACTAGAGGGGCCAACGGGTGTGCCGCTAATAAGCCATACGGATTGCCACGTATGTCTACCTGAGGAAAAAGTATATTAATAATTTTATGCACCAGTTATGGTGTAATCGACCAATCAAATAGTGCACGTATTATATGTATTCTAACCAATGTTAGTCTTTCAAGTTAGAAGTAAATAGTTTCTCCCTACTTGAGATCCATGCAATATTTATAAATTTACAATCTCATATTATTGTTTGTTCATTTGCCAGATTATTGTTGGTTTATTCTGGCCAAAACAAAATTTAGTAAAAAGAAAGATTATTGGTTACACATTAGCACAAATTTCATGTTCTTATGATAAGAAAGCGAGTTTACTAATTTGATTGCTATGATTAGAAAATGTTGATTTTGAGAGTTCATAACCATAATAGTACCATTACTTAATGTTTTCTAAATATAGATACAGATTTCAAAGCAGCACATCTTTGGGTTGTTTCTCTCAACTGGTATTCTAAGCCCAGTGGTCCATCCAAAAAGTTGATAATTCATATCTAGAATAAATATTGAATTTTATTTTACTAGTTTACTCTCAGCAAAATGTGTGTGAAATTTAAAATCAGCAATTTAAAAAATACATTCAAAATGCAGTTTATACCTATCTAATTACAGTTCAAGTGTTATCTGAAAATCTAGGGATTAGTAACAAGTTTTGACGTGAAATGATTTGAGAAAAATGGTTGGAGGATTAGAAGTAGATTTGGTTTATTTGAATTTAAATTATGGTAGCCTTTTCCAGTACTATCCTTAATTGCTTGTGAATATATTACGCTTGCTTGATTTCTAGGCTAAGAATGATATTTTCTAGTGGAGCGATCAGATGGTGCCCGATTCAATTTAGAATGAAATTTATGTTTTACATGATGAATCACACTCATGGACTAGCAAATATGAAATGATATGACCTAGATTGATGAAATCGACTTAGGAGTGCCGAAAAATTTACATGAGGGTACCTAAGTTATATTACCTGGTGAAACCCGAGCTCCTTAGTGACGGGCACGCCAATCTCGCTCAAACAGCCCTGGACCTTCTGGTCGGACCCGTACATCCCTGCATACCGGTCGATGCACCCGTCTAACGCCCTCGCGAGCTCCGCCGCGAGTGGGTAGCTCACGGCGAACCCACCACCACCGTATGCCATCGTGTACGAGTGGATCACGTCCTGCTCGATGCTCTCCGAGTTTGCTCCGATGTAATACATCTGGTCGTGGTCGTACTTGGCAAGGACGTCGACCAGGTTTTCCAGGAAGAACACCGTGTCGTCATCGCCCATCACGAACCACCGCACGCCCTCGAGCCCCAGCTCGAAGCTCTCCTTCACGATGCGTGCGATCCGGATCGCCGACCGCGACCCGTACCAGCACGTGTACTTGAAATCTGACGTGTTGGCCGAGACCTGGTACGGTGGTGAGCCGGCCGGCCACGCGATGCCGGCGGTGGAGGGGTCCTGGTCGAGCCAGACGAAGCCACGGGTGACGTTGGGGCGCCACCAGAGGTCGCTGTAGCGGCGGCGCTCGTCCCACATCTTGGCGGAGCCGCCGATGCCGAACAGGACGTGGGTTATGTTTGTCGGGGCCTCGGCAGAGGCGGAGGTGAACCGGCGGAGGGCGGGGGGCCGGAAGGCGCCGTCGCAGTGGGGACACGCGGAGAGGTAGGACTGGGCGGAGAAGGCGAAGTAGAGGACGAGGGAGAGGGAGGCGAAGGTGCAGAGAGTGAGGGTGGTCTTCATGAAGAGGGAGAAGGCGTCGCCGACCTTGGCCGTGTGGACGAGGAGGGACTTCCATGGCCTCAGTAGGTCGTGAATCGTCCTCTCTCTTGTTGAACACATTTTCATTCAAAATACAAAGGATAAAAGCAGAGAGAGAGAGAAAGAGAGAGAGATCGGAGGGATCGAGTTTGATCAGCTCATTGAGATTCTGAGAAGATGAGGACATGAAAAGAATTTTTCCGGTGTAGACAGATAAGCATTTGACAAATCCTGCGCCTTTAACCTATCTATGATCTTCTGATCAAGATCAAAACCTAAAAAGAGATGAAAAGAAAACCTGGGTTTGATCGAATTTGAGAAAACAGGATGTTGGGTATAGACATTGGCATCTCTCTCTCTCTCTCTCTCTCTCTCTCTCTTTCTCAACGTGCAAACCTTTAATGAATTTTAGACTTACATGGCAAATATCGTGGGAGGAGGATATGGCGGCATGATTGTTGATAGGGGGTGCTGATATATTGGGGCTTTACTTGGATAAAATATACATCTTACCATAAAAAAGGCATGGGTATATAATCAAGCATCCAAATATGATGTGGGAGAGAAACACCCCAAGACATCTTTGCATCACCTATCTTTGGTCAAGTTATCTCTTGCTTCTATCTATGCTCCTTCTTACTATATTGTTTAAATCTCCCTTTATGTTGAGATTCTATTTTTTCGTCGGCAATTCCATGAAAGGAGTTATTCTTTTTCCCAACTGTCAATGTCTAAAAGAGTTATAATTCTTTTGACGGTCCAAGTGTGTAGTGTGAAGGGGGTCTCAATCTTTGGCCGCAAAGTGTAAACACAGTTCAGCCGCACAGTCCTTGGCCAAGAAAATAGTCAAAAGTTTGGTAATTGGGGAGAAAATCTTTCTCAGGGGATTTTATTAACAGGCGTTCGGGAGGCGCATGTTGGCAAAGTTTCCAATGTCCCGATTGTTCTTGTATTATGTACCATCACTTTACTGAAAATTGAATTATTCCTGAGGTGCTCATTTTTTTTAATCGATAGAAAGATTTTATTCATTTATCAGAATAATACTCGAGAGGTATATAGAAAGCTTTCAAACCCTAAGGTGCTAATAAGAAGAATCTTTTTGGCACACATTGAAAGATCGTGGTCGAAATGTGGGTATAGGAACCCGACTCAAAAGATAGTGAGCTCCCAATGATCGTACAAACATGTTTCCGTGTTTTGGAATCTAAAATGAAGGGAAAATTACCAAAAAAATCTTAAACATATTTTACTTATGCCAATTTAGTTTTAAATCTTTTAATTATGTCAATTGAGTTCTTAACCTTTTCATGTTTTGCCAAGTGAGTCTATTCGGCCAATTTTGGTCGGAAATCGCTGATGTGGATGCCGGTCGTCCTATGTGGCATGGCCAGTTTTGACATGGACAATTTTAATAATATTTTTTTGAATTATTTTTGAATTTTTTTATTTTCTTTTCTTTACTTTCTTTTAACCTTAAGGCTGGCGAGAGGGCCGAGTTGCCTGTGAGTTAAAAAAAAAGTAGAGAAAAGAAAAGAAAGAAAAAAAGAAAATTGAAAAAAGTGAAAAATTCAAAAAATATTAAATAAAATGTTCACGTTTGTGCCGACAGTGCCACGTAAGATAGTCAGTGTCCACATCGACGATTTTCATCCAAAATTGGTCGGATGCCAATAATGTGAAAATGTATAGGACTCAATTGGCACAATTAAAAAGTTGAGATTTGAATTGGCACAAGTGCGATATGTCTAGAATTGTTTTAGTAATTCTCCCCTAAAAGGAAAGTAAAATAGAAAATTAAGCTGACATATGCTACTGGCGAAACAAATCAAAATTTGTACGTGGAGGTTTTTTTTCATTATCTATTTTACATAGTTAAAACTAAAGCGGAAATGTATACTTTAGTGCTCATCACTTGACAATTCACTTTGTCTTTGTATTTGCCATGTGAAAAGACATGTGGCAAAGTTTCGCCACGGATATTCGATCAATAAGCTTTTAGCTTAATAATTTGTCATCCGCAATTTTTCATCTTTTTTCGATTTAAATTTCAAAAAATAAATAAGGAGAAATTATATGATAATTTCATCTCTTATTAAGTTTAAACTTGAAAATAAAAACTATAAAGTAGAGAAAGTATTTTCCTTTTTTTTGCTAAGTAAAAGTTTAGGAGGAGGGGAGGTTACCCATGGCAAAGCTAGGACATACCACAGGCCTAGAAAGTCTTATAGTGAATTTACAGATCACCTACCATAGGGGATTGTTGGTAGTGGGATTCGAATATGAGTATGGTGTGCAAAGAGTAGAGAAAGTGTTTTCAATTATACTCTATCATCTCCCAATTTATTTTCTATTTATATGGACTTTAAATGTTAGAAAATTGATAAAAAGAAAGTACATCACTGTTTTATCTCTTATTAAGTTTAAAAATAAAAAAAAGGATAAATTAGAGTAACTGTTTTAAATTATGGGATAATTATAAAAAAAAAGTCTTGACTCTATTGTATGGATATCAATTTAGTTCTAAACTTTTTAATTTGATCAATTTAGTTCTAAACCGTTTGACTATTTATCAATATTGTTCTTTCGGCGAATTTTGGTCGAAAATTGCTGACATGACGGTCTAGTTAGTATCGGTTGTCCTACGTAGTACGGTTGGTGCTGATATGGACAATTTTTGCAATTCTTTTAAATTTTCTTAACTTTTTCTGCCTTTTTCTATTCTTTTCTTTCTTTCTTTTTTTCATGTTTCCCTAATTCCCTCTACCGATCGCCGACCAGAGGAGGCCTCACTAGCCACCCCTCCTGCGTGGATCTTGGCCAAGGTTGTGGCCGATGAGGGCTGTGTCACTTGTTGCTAAAAGAGGGGAAATGGAAAAAAAAAGGAAAGGAAAATAATAAAAAAATTTAGAAAATTTTAAAACAAATTGTAAAAATTGTTCACATAGACACTGATTGTGTCATGTCAGACACCAAGCATCCACGTCAACGATTGCAGATCAAAATTTGCTGGAAGGACTATATGGGTAAATCATCAAAAGGTTTAGGTATACATTGGCCAAATTGAAAAGTTAACGACTGAATTGGCTTCCGTACAATATGTTTAGAACTTTTGGTAATTTTCCCTTTGAATTGTACTCTTCACTAACATGGCTTGAATGAACTTTCTTAAATGTACTTGAAAAACAATGAAACTTTCGAGCAAAATATAAAATTCTGCATAAATATTTTGGTGCTTAACAATTCTTTTTGGGAAGAGTGATTGTCCAATCAAATTAAGATATGCATTCGTAATAGAACAACTAGCCAAGAACAAAGATATTGGTATATTGGATGAGCTCTATCAAATTAGCATTTATCAATATCAAGTATAAAAGGGATCCGGTATTTGATTAAATCAAAGTGAATATTGAGCAAAATTCCAATTGTCGATATACAATCTCAATTTGACCAATTCACAATTATCGAATACTCTCCCATCCTCTCTGTAAATAGGAGGCCTCTCCATTTATTTTGTGGAGTTGCTAGCGAAAAGTTCTTTAAAAAATTAAAGAACTTCGAAAGCATGAAATTGTTGTCAATACTTCTATTAGTATTTTGGTCATCAAGATTTTAGAAATATTTGGGTCATCAAGAACTCGATCCTCTTCTATTTGCGATCAAGCTTTCAAGTTCTCAAATTCGGTTCGAGAAAAAGAATCAAAGATTTTGCGATCTCAATCGAGATAGCGCCACTAAGGCCCTCAAATTGCACTTATGTGAAGAAAAATGACTATACAATTTGATTTCAGATCCAGCCATTCCCTCAGATTGCATTCAATGAAGACTTAAATTTTGTGCTATTCGATGGGAGATTGCGCCATTTAGACCCTTAAATTGTCTTTTCATTACTAAATAAAAAGAATTAGATAGTTTTTTTTATTTCATTTGGAAATTAGATATTTTACCCATTTGTTGAAATAATGCAAATTTGGTACATTGGTTTCTGTTCTTCATATTACAGATTTATTTTTGTGCAGTATTATTGAATGATATAACTTTTTCATTCACCAAAATATCTTTAACCAAGAAAAGAGTAAAATATTTTAAATAAAAGTATATAAACTATAATAAAGAAAACCGCTTCACAATAAAAAAACAAAAACAAAAGTGGAACAAACTTAAATACATATGTTCTTAACATATAAACTATTGTCATTAAAATATAACTTATTTTATTCAAATAATTCAATACAATACATAAAGAAATTATTTAATTTAATATTCTAATAATATGGATAAGGACAAAGTTTATGAGCTTTATTTTTTTATTAATACAACTTTTTGTAATCTAAAAATAAATATTTGAGTTTAATGTTGGAAAAAAATAGATATAGAGAAATCATCTCTAGATATATTCTTACTTATTGCAATTGCGTTTTGAAAAAACCAAAGTAGTAAAAATAAAGAGAACCTCTTAATAGAAAAGTGAGGAAAATTGTCCAAAAGTCATAAATCTATTGCACTTTTATCAATTTAGTCCTAAACATTTTAATTGTATCAATTCAGTCCTAAATCTTTTCACATTTTGCCAATTGAGTCTATTTGATCAATTTTAGCTGGAAATCATTAACGTGAAATGCCGGCCATCCTACGTGATATGGCTGGCGCCGACTTGAAATTTTTTTAATAATATTTTGATATTTATCAAAAAAATTTATTAATTTTTATTTTTCCCTTTTCCTTTTTTTCTCTTTTCCTTCTTTACTTTTTTTAATTCTTTTCTTTTCTTTCCTTTTCTCTTCTTGCGACGGTGGCCGACAGAGGGAAAAAGAAAAAAGAAAAAAAAAGTAAATAAGGAAAAGAGAAGAAAAGAAAAAAAAGGGAAATATAAAAAAATTAATAATTTTTTGAAAAATATTAAATATTGTTAATAATTGTCCACGTTAGTGCTTGTCATGCCACATAGGACAGCCGATATCCACGTTAATGCCTGTCATGCCGCGTAGGACAGCCAATGTCCACGTTAGTGCCTGTCATGCCACGCAGGACAACCGATGTCCAAGTCATCAATTTCCGGCCAAAATTATTCTTATAGACTTAATTGACAAAGGGTAAAAATGTTAGGACCCAATTGTCACAATTAAAATGTTTAGGATTGAATGGACAAAAGTATAATATGTTTAGGATTTTTTGGACAATTCTAAATGAATATATTACTCATAAGTATTTTGTTTCTAACTAAAAGTGTAACTGATTTTCTTCAAGGAATTCAATTTAGTCTAGTAGAAAATTTATCCAGAATAAATAAATTCAATTAATTTGACAAGTAAAATAATTTTAGTAAATTATAGCTAATTTATAAAGTGATTTGTTAAATTATGGGGATATCAAATGAAAAAAATAACTATCACTACTTTAATATTACAAAAATATTTAAATTTATTTGAGACATGCAGTAATAGGGGCGATCGATTCCCGATCCGATTCGGTTCCAAGGTGGAACCAGGAACCGGACCGGGAGAACCGATTCCCGAAATCGAGAACCGGGGACCGGACTGGTTCCGGTCCGGTCCAATGGAACCGGTCACTTAGGGTTTAGTTTTTTTGTCATACA